TTATAAAATCTGTTTTTGTGGGGCTAAGGAAGACGGGATGTCTGAATGTTTTTTTTCCTTTCTCTCAAGCAGTCTCGTTCCAATCAGCAGTGTAATTGGAATGCAACTCCAATCTGGAGGAGGAAGGGGAATTTTTGGCAAGAAGAGACTGAGCAGTTGGGAGTTTTATTCAGATGAAGCATAGACAGCCATTCATTATGAGTGCAACTCAGTAAGAACAGCAATAGCAGTCTATTTCTACAGCTGGGATTTATACTCTGATATTATTACATGGTGTGTTGCATATAGATAACTCCTTTCCATCCAGGAAAAGAAATTGTTGACTTAAATGGTAATATTTATTAACATCTGTACTTCTGCAAATGGTTTCCTCCAGTCACTGCCTCAAATAAAATATACTAAAGGAGATTTTGGCAAAATTTTAAAACATTTCTTGAGAAAACAACAGAAAAAAAAGATATTTAAGGCATGACATTTGAATTATACCTGATCTGCAAGCTCTGAGGGCAAAGGACTATGTCTTATTTATCTTTCTATCTGCAGAATCTGTCATAGCATGTGACACAAAGTGGGTGCTCAGGAAATGTTGAATGAAAGAGTGAACGATGTAGACAGTGCTACCTTCTCATTAAGCATCTCAAGATGGTCACATCTCCATCTGTGAAATAGATAGGAGTTACCAATATACCAACAAGGCTGCCTTTAGCTTCTTTTGATCATCTCCTCTACCCGTTGAAACTTATTCATGTATTAGCAACATCTTATTTGTGATTTTTAAAAGAAAATTTGTCAAACATGACCTGATGAGTATGTTTTAAATAAAGGGAAATGATAAAAATAAGATTTTGTAATTATGTCAAAGTTATGATTACTTGAGGATTGGTAATTTATCTGTCATATAGTATAAAAAGTCCCCCTTTTAATGAACTTATTTTACATTATTTTGGAATCTGTTTCTTTCATTCAACAAATATTTATTGAGTGCCCATTGAATGCCTGGCGCAATGTGTGCTTGGTGCTGGAGATACAAAGAAGCGAGACAGACATGATTTATGCTGCATGGAGTTTACCACTACATAGTTATAAGCAACATTCTAAACTTCAGCAATTATAATAAAGTGTGATGAGTGCCTGTGAAAGGAATGGGCTTCTGTGAAAATACAAGTGGGCGTAGAGTTGAGAGAAACATGTTCTAAAAGACTTCCTTCCCTTTGAGACCTAAAAGATGAGAAGATGAAGCCTGAGAAAAATGTTTCAGGCAGAGGGAATAACATGTGAAGGCTGTGGGTGAGAGATGGTGTACACTTGAGAAAGTAAAAGTTTGGTGTAGCTGGATCTTGGACTTGGGGGCTTGGAGGGAAGGGTGGTGATGAAAGATGAGGTCAGAGTGATGAGCAGGAGCCAGAGCCTGAAGGGCATTGTAAACCAATATAAAGTTTGGGCCAGAATACGAGGAGTGATAAAAAATATGGTGAATGTTTAAATTAAAAAAATTTTTTTTAATTAAATAAATTATTACAGTAAAGACACATTGCCATTAATCCCCCTCAAACTACTCCCTCTCACTTCAGACACTTCGTTCTTGCCCCTTTCTGAGGCAGTTCTGGAAGTCCTTTCATGAGTGTCTTTAGTTGAGCTGTCGTGGCTGCCTCGATGTCCTGAATCTATTAAAAACGTTTACCTTTCATGGTCATTTTGATTTTGGGGAAGAGCCAGAAATCACATGATGCCTTATTCAGTGAATAAGGTGGATGAGGACGCACCATAATGTTTTTATTTGACAGAAATTTCCGTATACCGGAAGTGATGTGTGACATGGAGCCTTTCCGTTGTGATGACATAATATGGTGAATGCTGCTGCCGAGTGCCATCCAACGGAAAGGCAGGGATCTTCAATATGGGAAGTGGCATGTCAAACCTTAGTTACAGTGTGTGACAAGTTTCAACTTGTTTGGTGCAGCCAGTTGAGTGTGAGCTACAGTTGAGAGAAGGTGTGTTTTAAAGTGTTCCGTAAACCATCCTCCATCATGACAACCCTCCATGTTACACATCACTTCTGTCTGGTACAGCAATTTCTGTCAAATAAAAACATTACGGTGTGTCCTCATCCACCTTATTCACTGGATCTGGCACCATGCAACTTCTGGCTCTTCCCCAAAGTCAAATTCATTCAGGACATGGAGGCAGCCATGACAGTGCAACTAAAGACACTCACGAAAGAGGACTTCCAAAACTGCTTCAGAAAGTGGCAAGATCCATGGGCTAAGTGTGTTTGAAGCAAGGGGGAGTATTTTGAGAGGGACTATTGGCAATGTGTCTTTTACTGTAATACATTTTTTTTAAAAAAATTTAAACGTTCACTGTAGTTTTTGATCACACTTCGTCGTACCTTGGAAATGTTTTAAGGATGGAGGTCAGTAGAGGAGACGAGAGACAAGGTCCCTGAGACAGTGGTAGGTTGGGTGTGAGATGCAGAGCATGGGGAGAGGGATAGTTCTGAGGAGTGTTTTAAGGTGTTTTGGAATGTTGTTACAAGGAGGAGAAATGGATGGAAGGACTTAATCATAGTTTTAGGAAGATCACTTTGGGTTCAGTGTAGAGAACTGACTGGAGGGGTTGAGGCTTGAGGCAGGGGACTGATTGGGAGGCTATTGTAATGACCTAGACAGGAGTTGATGGTGGTCTGGACTAGGGGATGGCACTGATAACAGAGAGAAGTGGAAAGATGAAGGATATTTCAGAGGCAGTGGGGAGGAGGAAGAGTAGTGAAGGTTGCTCTGAAGGTTTCTGACTGGGGCAGTGGAGTGGAAAGCGGTGGTATTATTGAAAGTAAACTGGAGGAGCAGTTTTGGGGGACAGGGGAGATGGGGATTTTATTTGGGGAGGCATATTTAGTTTGCCTGTGTGGACGTGGAATTTGGGAGAGAGCGAAGTGTTGGGTTTATAGATTTGAGTATCATAAAAATGGTACAGATCTGGGAGAATGTATGGAAAGTGGCTCTTCAGGTTTGTATTTTGAGAGGGAAGCGCTTTGTCAATCTGTTAACTATGAACTTGCTCCCAGAAAAAATGTGAGTTCTTTCACTAGAAAAATACACATACATATAATAATTTACAAATAATTCCAAGGTTTACAAAGATGGGCATATGTGCTCCTTGGGTTATAGAGTAAAAGAAGAGGACCTAGGGCAAAACCCTGAAGAAACTCAACTTCTTGGATGGAGTGGAGGAAAAAAGATCCGGCAAGGAAGACTTAGAATGAGATCCTGCCTGGTGTAAAACCAGATGAATGGGGTGTTAAACAGAAACCAAATAAAAGAAGGGCTCCAAAAGAGGGAGTAGTGAACTGAAGCGAATGCCCCTCAGGGGTCAAGTGTGATGAACAACGAGAAGTGTCCATTGGATGGATTTAGTGATTAGGTCCCCAGGGCTTTGGAGAAGCAGTGTAGGGGCAAGGGTGAGAGAGGAAGCCAAATTACAGTGGGAGGTAAAGAAGTGGAGTCATAAAGTGTAGACAGTTCTTTAAAGCAGTTTCGTTATGAAGGAGAAGAGGAAGGATGGTGGCTGGAGGTAGGAGGCATGGGCGAGACTTGTGTATGTTGAAATGCTGATGAGGCTGTTCAGGAGAGGAGAAGAGAGAAAGGTCCCTGAGAAAGTGGTGGGTTGGCATGAGATCCAGAGCTCAGGTGGAAGGATAGTGTTTGATAGGAGAGTGGACATTGTAAGCGGATGGAAGAAAAAGAGAATGAGTATCAAAACAGTAAGTTTGTAGGTTTAGTTTTGCATATGTTTTCTGTTTCTCTGAAGTAGGATGTGAAATCATGTCACTTCTTGAATCCTAGGATGGTGGTTAAATCATGATAACCTCATCAATACTGAAGACTGTATAATTTGTATTTATGTATAAGATAGGGCCTAAGTCTCTTAACGAGTAAATCAGTATCCTGTGCTTACTTAATAATTTGATTCATTTACCGATGGCATCTGTCATTAAAATGACTTGTACTTGAACTGTAAAGTGGTTAATGATATTGAGACTTATTACCAAGGTTTATAATGTTAAATGAATTTTTACACACTAAACTTCCAATAATTGTAACTAATTGAACAGACCATTTAAACTGAATGGTTTAGTAGTAAAAATGGGTAGAAATTAACCAAACATTACTTTCATAGATATTTTATAAATTGAGCTACAAATTTATGGAAATTGATGTTTTCCCTTCACTTGTATCGAGTTTGAATTAAAGAAGTTAAGTTTATGACTGTATAAGCAGTAATTTTTAAATTAAAATATAATTCACATGCTGTAAAATTCACCTCTTTACAATGTGCAATTCAATGGTTTTAATATATTCACAAGGTTGTGCATCCATCACCATATAAGTAATAATTTAATGCAGGGTAATCCAGAGAATGTAGATTTGGGATATCTAGTTCAATATATTAACTTAATTTTTGGAAGACATAGTAGATCTCTGTCTTGTCGTTGAGCTGATGATTTAAAAGATTATCTCTCCTGTAAAGTGTCTGTGGAGTTTAGGTGCAGAGTAAATAACAGAATGCTATTTAAAACAACCCAAGCTCATCTAAATCAAGAAAGCTTTATATTACTTATGGTCTTCAGTATAAAATTATTTTATCCCTCAAATATATATATTAACCCAAATTTACATAGTTCCTCCTTAGTACTGTTTTCTCTTGCCCGCAAGCTACTCTGTGAATAGATTTTGATGGAAGATAGGAATTGGGTCCTTATTGGAATACCAGCTATATAAACTTTCTTGCCCTCAGCTGTTCCTGGTGATCATTGCTGAAGTTACAAACATGCGTTCAGCTGCCTTTTTGCTAGTCTTTAATGAAAGCTTATGATCATAATTCATAGCTTGCTGTGGTTAGTGTTTAATTATTATTCACTAGTGTGTAATATGAAACTTTTGACAGTGCAGTCCTACCATTTTATTTTAATCTTTCCCATGTATTTTTTGTTTCCTTTACAGTACTCTGTGCAAAGAACTTGGTGAAAAAGGATTTTTTCCGTAAGTAAATTAACTTCAAATCTTGTATGTTGTGTGTAAACTTTTTGGATAGCGTTTTCAGAATTGTCCGGTTTAGGGATTTCTCTATTCAGAAATACACTCAATGTTATTTTATGAATGCTTTGGTTCAAAGCCTTTTGGCATCTCATTTTTGTGCTCTTTTACCCTTAGCCCAGTTCCCTTTACCCACCCCCCCACATATTTCGGTGAAATGTATGTGTGTGCAGGTGTGTATATGCAGATGTGTGTAATGTATACTGAAGGTGTGCATACTACTAGATTTCTAGAAAAGGTTTGAGGTTATTTTGTAAACACTTTTTTCCTCATAACATTTTATAGGAAACTTGACCCATGCATTCAGGATTCCTTGGAAGGTAGGGAAGTCATTCAGCCTGCTTGGAATTTCCAGAGTGTAGAAAGAAATCTCTGCCACATTTGATCGTAGATGCTCCTAAGTCTCAGATTCCAAAGTAGATATTTGGTTTCCATATTTGCTGTGTCTTTGCTGATCTGTTGTGAAATTTTTTGTGGCTTTATTTAGGATTAAGATTTGTGAGGGAGGATTGGAAAGAACCCCCTATGTGTGTTTACCCTGTAATATACTTCACAATAGCTTTAAGTTATTGCGTAAAAAAATGAAATAAGTTTTAGTAAAAATGTCTAAGCCAATAAAATTTTATATGTAAAATATTTGAAGTTAGAAATAGTATATTTGTTAGATTTTCAAATTCAAGTCCTATGAGCCAGCAAAAACTGGTTATGAGTGCTAATTTAATATGAGTAGAAAATTCTCAAGGGTTTGGTTAAAAGAAATAATAAGCTCTTGATATATTTTAAAATCATACTTAACTCATTCCACTTGAAATTTTATTACTTCCAATCTGTCTAGAGTTGAACCTGAATTAAAGTTTATAAAATAACATCTTGTAAAACTATATAATTAAAAAATTTTATGATATCTGTGCTTATATGGGAAAGCAATTAGCATAATTTGGGACATAGTTAAGAAGAAAGTTATAAGCAGTCTCCAATTTATGTACCATGTGCCCTCTACCCAACTCTACCCCAGCTTTTGTACCCAGTGGCCTGTCTGTGCTGCCACCAGTTAATGTTCTCTTCACAAGCTGCTGCTGAACTACCCACCTCATCTCTGTTACTAATAACCAGTGTGTACTTTTTTTACCCTTAGGTTGATCTGAGGTCACATTTATCCTAGCAGGACTGCAAAGTGGCAATTAGGGTTGGATAGGCTAGTGACAAGGAGGAAAGGAAGAGAAGAGAGGAATGCACACTCGTACAGCTGCCTCTGTACCCACCAAGACATCTGCTCTAGTTTTAAAGATAAAATCTTCAGTTTTGTCTCCCTGCCTTCCTCCCCAAATTCTTTTCCTTCCTCCAGAGTCCCAAGACACAGCTCCTCCAATAAAATATCCAGATAGCCTTGTCTCAGTTTTCCTAGGAAACCTGGAGGGATCTGACTAATTCTCTGTAAACCTCTGAGAGGTTATCATCACTTATATGTTCTTTATCTGTCCTTAAGTTGTATGTAAAAAATATGAAGGAAAGAAGGAAATCTTTCCCTTTTCCCTTATTAAGCAGTAAAAATTGATAAAATTACTTAAGAGTTATGAGCTTGCTTCAGGGATAAGAAAATTAGGGGAAACTGTGTGATTATCTGTAAAACCCAGAGTGGAAGAAACACTGATGGCCCTGGAAAGGGAAACAGGAAAGCCGAGCCTGAGGCCTTCAGAAGGGACTCCTACTAGCTCCCAGGTTCACATTGGTGAAGGCTCTCCCGCTGCGGTAGACTTAACATGGATTTTTCATCTGTTTATAAGTTAAGCGTTGCTCACAGAATTAAAATTAGTTCCTAAATCTCTTAATTAAGTTTGAGTGAGAATGTGTTTATTGATAAGAATGCAGTTATTGATACTGAAATATGTGGGGGGGGGTGCCAAAAAAATGTCTATAGGTGGACACTGGTCAACGTTGCTCAAGCAGTAGTTCACGGTAATCAGAAGTGTCTGGACGCTGATGGTAACCACTTTGAGCACCTCTTGTCATTGCAGAAGTCAAACATGACTTGTATCATCTTTGGTTATCGGTGTATATAGAGTATCACAATTTTAATATAGTTTTCCTTTCTTGAAATGTGTATACATTTTTATTTTTTGAAGATTTTTTTTTTTATAAAATTGGGGAATTGGGGGATGGGAACAGCGCTGGGGAATTGGGGGAAGGGGGACAGACAAGTTGCTGTCGTTTTGTTCTTCAGTGTAGTTGTGGAGGACGTTGCTTCACTGGCCCAAGTTGGCACCATCATTGCACTCTTCCTGGGCGAGGCAGACCAGTCGCCAGCTTCTGGACAGCCGCTCACTGCAGCTGCTGGCCGCTCACGCTGGCTGCTGGCGACTCCCCGCAGCCCAGCTCTAGGTTGAGCTGTTGTTCAGCATCTTAGCTGTAGAGGTCAGTGTCACTGGCCCTCATATGTGGGATCTGAACTTGGAATCTGGTGTCCCAAGCCAGCTCTTAACCAACACGCCACTCGGCCGGCCCAGAATGTGTATACATTTTTTTGGCACCCTCTGTAGTTAAGTTTTTGTTTGTAATTCAGTTTAAATCATGTTGAATGAGAAAAGTAATTTTAATATTAAGCATGATTATATGCTGATGAAACAGATACATATATTTTTTAACTATAGGAAACACTGCACAGCCATGTGTTGTCTTTTGTAATTTGTAAAATTTGAGGTAATACTGTTTATTCCAGGATATCTACCCTTGCTGAGAAGAGGTTTAGCTCATTTTTTTTTAAGAACTGCTTTCAAGCTTATTGGCTTTTAAAAATAAGTACTTTCTCCTTTCCCCAAAATTTTAGCAGGCAAATTTTCAACATACAGCAACATGTAAAGAATTTTATAGTGAATACCTACTATCTAGATTTTACCATTAACTTTATCACATATCTATTCATTTATCCATTATCTGTGTTTTTAAAAGAATGTTGTCATTAGTATCAAATTTTTTCTCTTTTATGCAACATTGAAATAAAAGATTTATGTGTAAGGTACTGTATTAAGGTGTTGTATAGGGACCTAAGGGCCTGCAATGAAGTTACTAAGAACCAAGATGGTTGGTTGAATGCCACTCTCCCCCTCTCCCCAATAAAAAATAAAGCTTTCTTTTCTCTGGTAAGTCACTCATTTTTTTTTTTTTAAAGATTTTTATTGGGGAGTTGGGGGATGGGAACAGCGCTGGGGAATTGGGGGAAGGGGAACAGACAAGTTGCTGTC